AAAACTTCAGGTCCTACCAACCTACTGATAGTCACTTAACTTCTTTTTAACCCGAGTTTTGCTTTCTATCCTACTTGCAACAGCGTGAAACTAAGAACCCACTCCATGCAGCTGTGTTCCTAAATATAGCCAAGTAATACTCTCTCTCATCCTGTTTTTCTTCCATTAAATCTCAGAGCACTTTAACATACACAGAATAAACATGAAGGCAGCAGAACACTGGTCCATGGTGCACGTGATGCAGCAGACTGCTGACAGAGGTGGGAGCAGGACTGTCTTCCGCTAAACCTTTCCCCCGCTTGTTGGGACTCACCTTCTGCAGCTGATGCAGAACCCTGTGATGCAGAAGCAGCCCGCGTTTGTTCATAGATAGATAGCAGCTCTTCATCTTCCACTGCAAAGTAGACTGGCACAACAGTTTCCATAGCAAGCATTTCTGGCTCTATCTCCATGAATTGCTGAGGATTTAAGTGAGATGCAAACTTAGCATCTGCTAAACATGCAAGAGGGCAGAAAAAAATGAACAGCCAAAACAGAGAGAGAACTAAGTTTTAAAATTAGAACCTGATTTGTTGAGCATTACAACAGGACCGTTCAGTCCTGCAGCAACTCAAACCTCACTCCCTCTCAAACATCTCCCATCAGAAGAGCAAGGGAACCTTTTTTTTTTTTTTTTTTTTACCCTTACAACATCCTGTGGGACAGAAGAAATGGACTGGGGCAAGATGATCACCACAGCACCAGCTGACTGGCGGAGAGCCTTCTGGTATTGCTCATAGGAGAAATCCAAAACCCCCCCAGCCGCATCATGACACAGCGGCGGCTCAGAACGTCCGCTTCTACAGTGCGGGCTTCCGTGTTTAGCACTGCGCTCCTGGTGCCTGTGGGGAGGGAGCAGAGGGAGGTTTAGTGGGAGAGTTGATCGCAACCCTTCTGCCTGAGCCTAGCTCCTTTACAGAACAGTCTTGGTGACAGTCTCATGCACTTCAGAACAGCTAGGACCTACAGAGAGCTACAAATCATCTCTTCCCCCTTGTCCTAGAAGGGATAGAAATCTGTGGTTTTTCTCTCCATCCATCAGAGAAGTGCCTGTGCAGCCGCACCCTGACAGGCTCCCCTGACTCCAGCACTACACAGTCGAGGCCGCCCTGCAGCTCTCCTCTCCACTACAATCATGCATGCTACCTGTTTGCTTGCCTCCACCTGATACCTGCAGACAGCAACACACAAGGGGAAAGCCTGGCCTCCAGCTATTCTGGCTGCCACATCCTCCAGCTGTAGGATCTCCTTGTCTGTGAGCAGAGGACATAAGCTGTACAGAACCACTTTGTGGAAGGACACAGCAAGGCTACCCCACATCTGTTCAAACAGCAGGGTGATCCTGCTGTTCTAGCTCATCCACTGGGATGTTCCTGTGACTGAGAAAATTACAGACGGGTAGGTTGCTTCCAATTCCTCATCCTCTTTTACTCTCAGCTTCAGCACACCAAATCCCTGCCTAAAAATACAATCTTGGGGAGAACAGCACTCTGGAGGCTTGCCAGCAGCTCCAGCATTCTCCAAGGGAGAACCCCAAGGACATCTTGCATAATCAGAGATGTTCAAAGCCGCCCTACAATTTGTAATGCTCTAAACCTAATTTCTCCCTCCATAACTCAGGCACTTAAAGACTTTGTCACACGGAGCTCCCATGCAGCCAGGAGAGGACTGAGGTGCTCCAGAAAGCATCTCAGCCTATGCCAAATCAGAATCTCCTCCATGGAGGAGCTCATCTCTCTCCAGTACCCGTTGCTGCAGTGTAGAGAATTCAGGGAAGTGAACCCAGCTCCAAGCAGCAGCCTCCAAACATCCTTGTGATGCAGGAACATGAACCATGCTTGGGCTAGACTTCACTTCTCTTCCACGCCCCTCCCCCCATACCTGCTTTTTCCAATCACAGATTTGGCAGATGCTGGTAATCACAGAGCTGCTCCGCTCCTTTTGTGGGGAGGCGTGGGAAGAATATATTCTCAAATGGGTTAGAGTACCTAAATATAGCAGTTACTTCTAAAGTGGGCTATTGCTAAAAGTTAAGTTTAAACCTGGCTTAGCATACTCCTGGCACTAGTTTGGTCTGGTCAACAAGGATCAAACTACCTAAACAAGAAAATGACCTGTGCCTCCACTGCATAGTATCAATGAGGGCAGCACACTCAGAAACTGAGCTAAGGCTTTCATGCGTGCTCAAAAGCCTTGTATAGAGTTCTTGCACTGTATAACAAGCACAGATATTAATAACAGGTCCCTCAGATCAGAGAGGAACAATTTATAACGAGGAAAACTACTCCACCACCCCTAAAGCCATGACGTCTAAACACAGAAAAGCACGGACCCAGAATTCTGCTCCCAGCACAGTCCTCTCGTAGCTTACGACACTGCAAGACAAGTTGATTTTCTGTAGTTTCTCTACAGAGAGCTGTTGAATAACAACATATGCATTTATAATTTAAAGGACTCTATTCTAATGGCATTAAAAAACCCTAAGTTTGTACTTAAATTGCTCTATGACTGATGTTGACAAAAACCTCTTCTCTCTCCTGCAACAGAAGAATCAGCAACAACGTTTACTTAATCTCTTTGAAAAAGATTTTGAGAATCTGGAACAACAGGAAGCTTTTATCCAGAAAGACCTCTGCCCTCAGAACACACATGGAACAGGAACACTAGCTACCCAAAGGGGCTGGCAAGAAACAAAGGGAACACACAATTCACTGAACTGAAAGGGTCCAAAAAAAAAAAAAAAGAAAAAAGAAAAAAGAAACAGCTTTAAAAGTTAATGGCAAGCATCTTAAAAATCAATGCGTGGCTTTTCTAGAGCTCATAAATACACTGTGAGCGCTTGGCTGGAGATAACACTCAGGCAACTAAAGTCAAAGCTAGTTGAAACGTGTGCCTGCTGCTCCCGTTATGCCTGCCAACAAAGATTTACTGCTGTAAGAAAAAAAAAGAGATAGCTTAATGCCTCTGCGAGAGAGCCTAGCTTGGATCTAGTGAGGTTCTTAGCAGCAGACATTGAAAGACATGGACGAATTTTGAGATGCTGGGATGAAAGAACTCAGAAATAATTTCAGATATATGCAGAAGCCACTAACAGCACCTGTAGTATTCACAAAGCATGCAGGCATGGCTGGTGTTGCTTCCTTTTTACCGATGTTTGATTTTATGAAGCTTTGAAAGATCTAGAGACTGGGTCTCCTGACAGTATAGAGTCAGTCAGGAGAAGCCTGTAACTTAGGCCCCAAAACAGAGAGTAGGAAGAGCTGCTCGAGGACAGAACGCACGCTCTGATCTGGAATAAAAAGCCTGCAGGAGACTTTGAAACAACCATTGTTCAGGTTAGTCAGTACGAGGGGGTGGGGGCTCAGGGTTACAACACTCCAGGTTGTACTTCTGACTCAAAGAACGGTGTTGCACAACAAGCAGCCTGGAAGCAACAGCACAGAGAGGACGCGGAGGTCGACGGTAACGTGAAGGAAGAACTGCCAAAGGAAGGAGACGCGGGCCCTGCCCGGCCCAACCGGCCGGGGCAGGAGCAGAGGCAGGGGAGCGCAGGGGAATCAACCTGCGAGCGGAGGGGTCGCAGGTGAGGGGAGAGGGCCGGCTCCGGGCCCAC